CGCACAGACGTTCGAAAAACAGAAAATGAAGAAATAGGTTTCTTGTAAAAAAAAATATATACGCACAAAGGAATATATACCCGCATATATGCATACACATCTATGTACATACAAATATGTATAAAAGACAAAGAAAGGTCTATCTTTATTTCATTAGTCTTTCAGTGATCTTTTCATTTATAATTTCGTTTTTTTTTTTTTCATAATTTTTCGAACTATTTTTTTACACGATATCTGCTATTTAATGTTTTTTTTTACTTTATTTATTTCTTTTTTAATTTTTTATTTCTTCTTTATTTGTTTTATTTTTAATTTAATTTTTCATTTTTTAATTTCTTTTTCTTTAGTTTTTTTAATTTTTGCTATTTATTTTTTTAATTCATTTTTATTTCATTTTTAATTTCTTTTTTAATTATTTTTATTTTTATATTTTTTTGAATTTTTATTTTAATTTCTTTCTTTTTTAATTTTTTATTTCTTCTTTGTTTGTTTTATTTTTAATTTCATTTTTCATTTTTTTAATTTCTTTTTCTTTAGTTTTTTTAATTTTTGCCTTTTATTTTTTTTAATTCTTTTTTTTATTTAATTTTTAATTTCTTTTTTAATTATTTTTACTTTTTTTTGTGAATTTTTATTTAAATTTCTTTTTTAAATTTTTTTATTTAAAGAAAAAAATTGTCTTTATTTATTTTTTTTTACATTCATCTTTTTTACATTGCATTAATGTGCAGCCCATTCTCTTGATATCCAATTGTTTTTGCGTCTCTGATATCATTGAATATATATGTATGTGTGTATGTGTGTGTGCGGCCTTTTCTCTGTATCAAGATCTGAGAACATCGGCCGATATTGGCTGCGTTGCCGGTTCGTTGTACTACTGTTGTTGTCTTATTAGGCTGTCGTTCGTTGTATCGCTGCCACCACTTCATCTATTTTTATTTTATAGACCATGGCGGGTTGTTGTATAAAATGGAAGGCAAAGAAAAAAACCAAAAAATATAAAAAAAATCCACAAAAAAAAATTAAAAAAAAAATTAAAATAAAAATATAAAAAATTTGAAAGCACCAAAATCTTGCATAACTAGACGTATTCTACATGCTTAAGCACACACGCATGCATGCATACATATACATGTACATATGTATATGTATATCAACTTATGCATATATGGGCATGACCTGTAGCGACCGCATAGGAAGTGTGGCATCATTAAAAAAAAAAAACAAAAAACAAAAAAACATCAACGCGCCGCCTTCAATTTTCTGCCACATACCTATGTACATACATATATATGTATGCACATTAAGCAGACGAGACTTTGTGCTGCTTTAATTTTGGTGGTTTACTCTTTCTTCATTTTCTATTTCTGCTTCTAATTCAGTGGTATTTTTATTTGAACGTTGAGGCCTTTTCCAAAGCAAATGATCAATCGATGCTTTAGCTGTTGGGTTTTTTTTTTTTTAATTTTTTTCTGATTTTCGTTGCTTCGTCAAGACATGCGGCGCGTTTTTAGACGAGTCGTCGAACAAGCAAACTGAATCGTATGCCAGCGCTGGCATACATATACCATAAAACACATTAGTTACATATATACTCGTATGTATGTCCCGTAGCAGTGTTTCTGCTTCATTTTTTAGTTCTGACAATTTTTGTAGATTTTTTTTTAATTTTAAATTTTTTTTTGTGATTCGGCTTTCATGTCTTTCGGCATTCTGTTTTAATTTTCCACATTTTTTACACATCTTATGTATGTATTTGTGTATATTTCCCTGTTGAACACTGATGAGTCAGTTTTGTGTTTTTATTGTTGTTCTGCTAATGTTATCACGCTTAATATTGTGTTGTATTGTTTTTTTTTTTTTTTTTTGGTTACAAGATTTCTGTTCTTTACTCAAATGCCGATACTTTTTGCCATCTGTTGTGTTTATTCGCTCAAGTGCTAATTAAAATGATATACTATTGCTATACACATACATATACATACTTTTTGCCATATATATATATATATATATATATATAAGGAAGTATGTATGGGAAGCTTTACAAGACTGCATGTAATGAATGAGTGGTGCACATCATATATTGCCGAGATCCAAATGTAAAAAATATCTTCATTTCATGCTTAATTCATACGATATTTCATTAGAAAGATCTTTGCACGATAAGTAAGTATTGGCTACAGTGGAGTAGTAATATCGTTTCAGAAAATCTTGGCACTAAAAATACCTGTATGATCTTTAACTTAAAACGTTTCTGTACAACTCAAAAAAAAAAATATTAAATACCACGAACAAACTTGCTCCTCAGCACCCTGAAAGTCGACTGCTCTTATTGCCGAATATGTTCTAGATTTAAACTATTAACCTGGTTACTATTACTCTGACGGGAGATAGATTAGTTGAAGGTGATGCCAATGCGAGGCATACGATTTTTTCTCCCCAAGACGACCAACTTACTGGTCAACGGATCTAAAGGAATCGCCTGATCTGATTGACTTTGCAGCCGAGATGCTCAGCGAACGAAATGTTGTATTAAAATGATAAAAAAAGCTAAACGAAATCAATATGTTTCTTTTCGTCGCCATGTTATCGAAATGTTAATGCTGAAACCGCACAAACTCTTTCTTTAACATTAATGTTAAAATGGCTGCTTGCTATGATATTAACAGCACAGCTCAATATTAACGTTTAACATTATCTGTTAATGACCTAACATACTGCAGACATTAACGACAGAGCATTTCGCTTGGGGTATAAATGCAAAAAAAATTCGTTTTGATAACTGCTTTAACGATAACATTACCAAATATTTCAATCAAATGGATGGCATTTTTTTTATTAACGTGATATTTATCGTTACGAGGTTTGTTTTATGGAATAATAGATGTTTTAAGGAAAAAATAAGTAATATATTCGTAAAAAAAGGCGAATTTAGCTTTTTTATAATTTTCTGATTTTAACTTTTCACCTTGTTAGGATTATATAACAATTATCAAACTCATTTCAATTTATCTTTGAACTGGAACTTGTTCAAGAAGGTTACGACAACATCATATGTTGTCCTTATTGGAGGTGGTTTTAATTTTTGTGTAATCCGAAGATTTTAAAATAATTTTATGCAGAATACAATGTAACATTTTGATTATAAAATTCTAAGGGCTAGCATTGAAATTTCTTGGAATCAATAACAATTTGGATTAAAACCTTTTGATTAGTTTTGTGTCGAACAAATGCATTTTGAAATATCAAAAATTTTTCAATTATAAAAATAACATTTTTGTAGCTAGTAAAAAGATTTAATAAGCGAAAGGTATCAGCAAATAATGTTGAAAACGTTATAAATAATTAGAATTTTAAGCGGACGGGCATTACTCAGAAAAACTTAATATTGAATTTCTCATATTTTCTCGTTCTGCTAAAAAGCTTTGGAAAGTGGTTGATCGCTATATATTAGTGGATTATTGTGAAAAACAGTTTTTAGAAAATTCGTTGAGTGACCACATTAACATTTTCTAAAAAGAAAAATACAAAGATGCGAAATTGTAGCATCTTCGCTAACCGTTAAAATACAGTAAGTATGTATTATAAATACTGCGTCTCGCCTACTGTATATATCGACGTTGGCACGGCTATGTCAACGTTTGTAATAATCTGGTATTCTACAGGACTCGGGACATGTCGAAAAATCTTAAAACTGATTTTTTTTTTTCATAAAAATCTATTTAAGTAATTATTCGGATACGAATTTACGATTGTTATCCTTTCATAATAAGGCCAAAACTCAGTCACCTCGGTTAAATGTGCTAGCTACGGGTTTTTTAACTTTTTTTTCAACTTCATGCTCAATTTTCTTTTTTACTGCTAATTAACTCAACTAAAAATTATTTTTATTATTTAGTTTTTTTAGGTCACATTTTTAAAATATGTCGTATGCCTCTAGTGAGTGGATGTTTTTATATTTTAATGAACGGACAATATAAATCCAGTAGCAGATGGTATTTGTTGAAATTAAAAAAAAAAAAATCTTAAAATAAATAATTATATTCATTGCAACACAATAATTTAAAAAATATATGTACAGTCAATTTCTGACGATCTCAATATTAAGGCTGAGATTTGCTCGATGGCTGAAAGGGTCCTTCATAAAATAAAAAAAAAAATGAAAAAAATGGTGCTCGTCATCGTGCGCATCCTAAAGGTAATGGAAGCAGAAGTCCCCGCAATTACATTTTTAGAGAAGGAGTAGATCGTCGCCACATCTAAATAGGAATAAATATATATAATAAACGAACTTCCAGAAGCGGAAGTAGATCTTCACCGCATCTAAATGCCTGATCGAATATACAATATAAAAGAGGAAGGAGTCCCTCCTCCTGTTAAATGGCTAGGATATTTTAAAAAGAAAAAATTGTAGTTTTTACCGTTGAAATGTTCTTTAATTTTTTTTATTATGTTACGCAGATATTTACATACTTATATATTTCCTTTCCCATTAAAAATGATTTGCATGGAAGTTAAAGAATTTTTCCTTCAAAAAAAATTTGGTAAAGAGACTTAGGGTTCGGTAAATATATATTACATTTTCATTATTGTGAATTATTTTCTCCGCCAGTTTATTTATTACTTATTTCAGTAAAAATCAGAATGCAAAATAACTGAGAGAAAAACGAAAGAATGGGCTGTACGAAAACTAGAAAAGAAAATATTTTTTTCCCATAAATTTTCATATGCTCATCCATATTTTTCACATGCAATTTTTTTTGTCATAAAATAAAATCACATACTTTTTTTTGTGATCCAAAAAAAAATTTTAAACCAATTTCTTTTTCTAAATTATTAAGCACAGAATTACACTATTTTTACACTTACATATATATTGCACTTAACGACTTAAACAACTTAAACATTAATACATATTTTTAAGTATGCTTTTAAAATTTTTATAGCTCATATATAAACCAAAAAACTATAGCAAAGTGGGAGATTCGCAAATAATTTACCTGAGAATTGTTTATAGCCGCCAAGTATTTTATGCTTCCACCATTTGACTATATTTCCCGCCATGTTGAACGCGCACAAAATTGTTGACTTTACGAGTATTTATTTCACTGTTGTTGGTTGGTTATGTTACCAACGTTTTATTTACCTTTTTCTCTTTTTTTTTATTGACTCACTGACTGACAACCGACTGATTGAAGCCGGTATTTTCTTTTTAATTTAATTTTCACTTTGTTTTGATATATGTATATACGTATATATATATACTTTTTTGTTATTTTCCAGATTCTATTTCACTTGCTTTTTTGTATGCAATGCAATCTACACTACTATTGGTTTGCGTGATTTACGACAACCGCAAACATGCAGTAGCAACATACATATATGTACATACATATATAATACAATACATACATACATACGTATAAACGCAGGTACGTATTACACTTTGTGGATAATGATTTTGCTTACTGTTGTTGTGTTATTGATAGATAAATAGATTTTTTTTTAATTTACCTTGCTGCTGCTTAAATTTTTAAATTTCTGCTGTATGTAGTTTGCAACAATTTTGTTTCATTCACAGTGGCCAATATCAAAATTAATTTTTCTAAATTTTTTTTTCCTTTACTAAAAACATTTCATTTTATTATACTCCAGCAACTTTACAAGCATTTACTGACACTAACACCACACTTTGCAAGCGTATAATTTTACAACGCGCTAAGGTTTAGTTTGCAATTGAGTTGCCGTTTACTATCCATACATATGATGCCTGGCAGGTAAGACAATAAAGATTTTGGTGATGAAGAGGATGCCGAAAAGGACGATACACAGGCAGTTAAATAAAAGATGGTATGCCTAAGCGGCTGTACATATGTACATATGTAGATATATAAATACACGGCATGGACTTCACTCACTTTGTGTATTTCTGCAAGACCGCTTTGCACTACGTTTAGTATATCGCAACGATCGACAGGTTTCTGAGTAGACACTTTTCCACCACCACAACCATCACTTCCACTACGATTTTACTGTGTCACTTAAAACACACACGTGAGTATTCCCTTTCCGCTTTACAGCTGCTTTTACTGCTTTCGCCAACATTCTACTGACATTTTCAGTGTCGGTAAGTAATTTTACAACATTACACACTTTCTCCACACGTTTAGTTTAACAATAAAAGATACTGTTTACTTTAAACAGTTTACACATTCATATACTCGTATGTATGTATATAGATTCATATATTTTTTACCAATTTAAAATGGTTTTTCACGAAACCTATACTTTTTACAATATTACTTTTGCTTTACCAGCATTTTTTTGTTTTCTTTTGTAAACAAATTTTCTTTGCACACCTCACATCTACTTCACGTTCCAATTTCGCATTTGTTTTTGTTGATTTATTTCTACACGTTCTTGTCACGCCGCGTTGTTGACGAAGAAACAGAAAAAAAATCTATGTACGAACTACTGATACGAACGCCAAGAAATCGAATGGCAGACACAGGAAATTCAGTTGTTATGGAAATTACATCCGGCCAAACACATTTAGTTTAGCGTTATTTTCTTCACAAATTTTTGTTATTTTGTTTTTCATTAACCAAAATTATCAATAACTTTTATATAAAATTTCATGCACTAAAGAGCAGGGAACCGCAATTCACTCTTTAATTTTTTTTTATTATTTTACTTAAATTTTATTCCTTAAACATTTTTATTACACTTAATGCTACAAATTCTTTATTCACCGAAGAATTTCGTTTATTTAAAGCGTTACAGATTTTTAACGGAATTTTCAACCGACTAAAAATCATTTCCTTCCGTTTAATATTTCGCCACACTACATGCGTTCTCAACATACGACCACTGACTGACTGAACTGTCGCTACACAAGCAGAAACAACAAACCACTTCTACGTTACGCTATGCTGCTCGGCTGCTGCTATTACTGCTCGGCCGCTGCTACTAATGCTGCTCTCGATGATGATGTATACGTTTTTCCTCATTGGCACTACTTACTACACAACGCTATCGTCACAGTCAGCATCGAAGTTAACGTAAACGAGTGAGTACTCACTCACGTCGGCTTTGATGTGGCTCCCTTCGTTATAGCAAGTCAACGTTGTTTTTAATATAAATCTTTTTTATTTATTGTATTTAGTTGATACCGAAAACAGCATGACATACAAAAGTATTAGCTGCTGGTGGTAGCTGTGGAGCTGACTGACTGCTTGGTTGGCGGCTCACCAAAGCATGAGGCGGCAAAAGTAAAACGTACGTAAGCGCGGTTAGGTCAAGTGATTCAATTGTGAGTACACGGAAAGGTTAATGAAAAGAAAAAGAAAACACGTTGAGAGAAAATCATGTTGCATGCTCAGCCATATTTTACAGGCTAAAGAATGTATTGACGCTCTGTTTAGGCCAAAGGTCTAATTTAGTTAGAGAAATATATAATTATTGTCGGATAATTCATAATTTCTTTGAAATAATGAGCGCTTAAACTTGAATTTCATATGAAATGGTGCAATTAGTGATGTTATGCGCCCTGAAGTATACTTCAAAATTAAAAACAAAATTATGGAAAATTAAAAAATATTTACAGAAAACGAAGATTTTTAAAAACATTTTCCTGCCAAAATTCAGTATAAGTGTAAAAAAATGTAATTAAACATATTTACATACAAAAAAATAATTTATATATAAAAAATCACAGTGTAAGCATGCATTTCAGCAGTGTTAATAACCGCATGCAACTCCATTGTACGATTGTTGTTTATGCGAGTTTCCAGTTTTTACGTTTTGTTTATATCGAAAATTCGAAGATTAGTATTCGCTGCGCTCTCAGAGAGTATATGGCACACATTATATGTTTTTGCGCTCTTGCACAATTGGATTTCTGCTAGCCTTGCCGCATTGAAAGATAAAAATATATATTTTGTTATTCTACAAAATAGCAAAGAGAGATGTGTAGTCTCTTTTGGAATGTAGAAAGAGCATTTAGAGTACATTTTTTCACAAAAAACATTTTGTGCGCAGAGAAGAGAATTTTAATGACTTGTTATTGTTATGAAAAGATTTAGGTTTATTAATTTTTTAATATTCATATGAATGGTAAATATGTATATGTTTGTTTACATCAATGAAAATATCTGTGAATCAAACTAAATTCACCACATTTGTTATTATTTCTTCTAATTTGTTTATAATAATTTTCCTCAATAAATTTGAGGTCTTCAATATCTTAATAAAAATATATTAATGTAAATAACTTTTAATATTGTAGGTATATTGGTTATCGAAATTTATGATAGGAATCTGAAAATACACAAAAAAAAAAAACATAATTTGGCTGATAAATAAAATTAAAAATTTATGAAAAATAATTTCAAGAATTTAGCTTCCTATAACCAATTGTGTGTCTAAGAAGATTTTAAAAGCCTCTTTTTTTCAGTGCAAGACGCCTCTTCTTATTAAAGGCATCTTTTAGCCTTTAGGCGTTTTTCTATCTCTCAATTTTTTAAGAGATTTTTTAAATGTGATTAATAAACTACTTATTAGATAGCTCTCAAGACCTAGTCTCCCGTATACCATCTTATACTGTATATGGGAAACCCTACTTTCCAAAGAGCAGGGCCCGCCTCGCTCATCTTGTAGGCTCCACATCTTTCGAAGTAGGCCTAATTTTTCGCCATCTCTCCCGGCAAAGCAATAATTAATTTTTAATAATTCTTTCATTCAAACTATAGTGGTGTCTGACAAATCACTCTCAACATATTGGAGCAGATACTGGGTTGTCATGACCAAACCTATTGAGTTATTTCCGTGAAACGTCAGAGGTATTGCGTCAAAAAGTAATCGGTAGCCCCCTAACTTCTACATACCTTTTGCAAAGCTATGTATGGGCTGCTGTCACTTAGAGGTCCACACCTTTCTTCGGCAGCAATCTCTCTTTGCGATCTTGCCGATAGTCTTAAGTAAACTCATTTCATTACCCCCGGCCATCAGGATTTGACCTGCTAAAACCAGTTCAAAAACCACAAATAACTCTAACGGAGCTCAATCGATATGGAGCAAACAGCTTTTTTTTTTGTGTGAATTGTTGCTCAAAGCGTCGGCCCAAGTCGGTACTGCGTATAACACGATGGAACTTACTTATAGGATTTGCCATTATTTGGCATACAACGAGCTGCGTCTGGAATTTCAATGAAAGTGTGACCCACTTCTTTGAATTTGAGAAACTACAACATATAAAGTTCTGGCGGCCATTGTAGCCCAGTGGTTAGCATAGCCTACTATCATTCGGTAGGCCCAGGCTCAAATCAAAAAAGTTATAGAAAATTCGTAAAAAACCATCAGTCGTTCGGAGGCGGCAAAATATAAACTGTAAGTCCTTCCATTTGTTGGAAAATTTGAAGGAAGAGCTCGGCCGAAAATCGCTTCAGCGGTGATTTTGAATTTGCATCGTAGACAATAGGAATAAAAATCTTTTAACTTAATCAGCTCCACCTAACCCCTAACTGGATCATCTCAAAAAATATAAATTTTATAAAATTTCTTAGAAAAACTGCTTTTGTTATTCTATTTCCCCAAGAATTTCTGAGTCTAAAGAAATAGATTTTTCTAAACGTCCTCCGAAAGGCTGATCGATTATTATTTCAAGCCGGAAATAAACTCAAAGGGCTTGAACCTCCTTGTGTCCGTGGCTAGTGCGGTCACCAACAAGGTAATAGTCATTTTATTAACAACTCATGATCCAACGTAGTAGATCTCCTAGAAATCGCCTGCCTCTTTAAACCGATACGAGCATGAGCGTTCCAAATAGATGCTTAAATCGATAGTAATAAACCCCAACCATTTAAGTACATTTTAGCAGTCAACCTGCCATGAATTCTCCACTTGACAACTATCACTTGGATATTTCGTACAGCTCGTCGTTCATTCGGCTGAGATATTTACCCTTCCCAACTCGCAAAGGAAATTTGGCTATCGAAAGTAATCAAAGAAGAACTTACTATAGATGTATGCAAGAAATCGTCAAGTATATAAGAGCGACAGCTACCACGCAGCAAGCCGTTAACTAAAGCATGCTCGAGAGTGCGTGTGTGGAATGTTCGTTATCGAGAACAATCAAAGGAGTATTCATAAGAGCCAACACCCCAGCATAACCAGTTGGGTTTAGAACTCGGTGTGTGCATCATCGGTTTCAAGTGAAGCGAGGCAAATTGTGTGTTTACATCAGAATCGGTAATGTGTTTACAATAAAGAAGCTGAAAAACAAATCTTGAGAGTTTTATTTGACAATTCGGTTATCAAACCCGAAGGATTTACGAAATCATGGATGTTGTTTAGCGAAAATCGTTACAGTATATACTAGGAAGGCATCTGCGCCGAAAGGGAGCGATTTATTTGGATGCGATTGATGCGATCACGCTTTTGCTCTCTACATACTGAACACCACACTTTCCATTCATGATTTCGCCTCCTTTTATATACTTTTTGTATTATATCTCCCCTGTCGAAGCTTCGTGGCTTCTGTAGCGGGTTTACTACTATGTTTGCTGCTGGTATTACCGATTACTTCATGCTGCCATTGTGGATTCTCTGTTCTTTTGCTTAATAATCCTGTGGCGGCATAATGGCTTGGTAATTGTAGAAGATCACGCTATCAACTTGTGTATTTTTTGTTGTTTTTCTTTATACTCCTTAAGACGGTTTAAAGTTCAGTTACTTGTTTTAGCTGTTGTTTTGAAGGTCAAGAAAATATTTTTTTTCATTTATGCTTTTAGAATTATTTAATTTACGAATATTTGTATATGTACATACTCGTATACGAGGTGTGACAATTAAGTAATGAGACTGATTCCGTAAAAACCATACCCTTCAAAGTAGTCTCATTTGGAAGCTTTACAACGATTCCAGATGTGTTTTATATGCTGCGTAACATTTATGGAACACTTCGACTGGGATGTTCGCGACTACTCTCGTCGACTCAAAATGGGTTCCTTCGACCACCGACTTTGTTCTAGGGATCAATAAATTCACAGGGTGACATATCGGTCGCTGTTTTTGCGACCTTTACGAAATCCATTAGTTTCGTTTGCAACTGTACGTAGGAAGCTTGAGATGTCGTCCCACAGTGCTCTCAAGATACTACTATTAGTGCCTAATTTCCTCTTAACTTTATTTCTATAAAAGATTCTACGAGCTGAAAAAATTCATTTCTTGAAAATTTTGAAATTCTGCGTTAAGTTTCTTTTGAATACAATGAGTCTAATATAGACTTCTAATATAAATAAAAGTCTAATTTGTTTTTATGTAAAATCATCAATTCATCAACAACAAATTGAAAGGACTATCAAGTGTATTATAACTTGATAGTCTTTTCAATTTGTTTTCCTTCGAATTTCTTTCCGATACTTGAACTTTGGTCTATGCAACTTTGAAGAACACATTTCTCCTTGGTTTAAAAGCCAGCAATATGGGAACATATGTGCCTCCAATAAGGAAAGGCAATAAAATAATTAAATGTTAACCAAACGCGCTCCCTCAGCTGATAGCTTTAGCCTTCGTATGCCCTTCGCTCTAGTGGCCAATATTCGAGTATTAAAGACATTTCTTTCTTTCCATAGAAATGGTTGCCACACGCATAGAAGCGCTTCATAGAAGTTAAAATTCCATAAATGATGAAATGAATTTCTTGAATTAAATTACAAACTTCAATATAAAATCATTTTATTAGACTCGCTGGCTGTAACAAATGAATTCATTCACAAGTTCCGTGGTGAAGTATTTTAAATCATTTTTTTTTTTTTTTGGGAGGCCAATCGATTGATTGTGTAGGCCAACTTTACGATGTTGAACATGAAATGAGCGAGGTGTGCGCCCACATGTCATAAAACATAACAATCAGATATACATATGTACATATTTATATATTGGTTACCCCAAAAGAAATCGACGATTTTTTAAAAGAAAATAAATAAAATTTTTAAAATTTTATAATGAACTTTAATCAATTATTTAATTTTTATTTTTATTGGATGATCTTCCACCATTATTCCCCGCTCATAGAACACCCGACTTTTATTGGCAAAAACCTGAGCCAAGTGCGACTTTATAGACTCGTCATTTTCGAAAGTTTTGCCATTTAATGAGTTCTGCGAAGATCGAAACAAATAGTAGTCTAACGGTGCAAGGTCAGAGCTTTATGGTGGATGCATCAACAGCTCCCAGCCAAACCCTCTCAGTTTTTAGCGAGTGACCAAAGATGTGTGTGGTCCA